TATCATCTTGGGAATGGATTGGCACGAGGAAGCTGATCCCAAGATTGATTTCAAACAGAAAGAAGTACAAATCAAGGATGAATCGTCTGAATTGCAATCAATTAAGTTGTATCATCGGTCAGGGTCTGATTCTGTCTTGTCTTTCTGTTGCACGAGCTACCCTGCATTCCAATCGATGGTTGCAAAGAAGAAGTTAGAGGATGAGGTAGTCATGTTGTTAGTTAAGAAAGTAGGTGAGTCTTCAACTACCCATCCTCCTGGCATAGATGCACTTCTAACAGAGTTTGCCGATGTTCTGTCTGAACCAACCGGGGTCACTTCGCGTGCTATTAAGCACACGATCGAGATTGTGCCCGGTAGCAAGGTTCCCAAGGGCCCTATCTATCGCATGTCTCCAAGGGAACTTGAGGAACTTAAGAAACAATTGTCTGAGTTGACGGAGAAGGGATGGATTCGCCCTAGCTCCTCTCCTTATGGTGCACCTGTCTTGTTTGTGCCCAAAAAGGAAGGTGAGTTGCGCCTTTGCATCGACTACCGAGGGCTGAATGCCGTCACCGTCAAAAACACCGAACCTTTGCCAAGGATCGACGATCTCTTGGATTAGTTGCAGGGTTGTCGAGTCTTTAGCAAGATCGACCTTAAGTCTGGGTACCACCAGATCGAGGTGGATCCCGCCGATCAGCATAAGACCGCGTTCCGTACGAGATATGGTCATTACAAGTTCATCGTGATGCCATTTGGTATAACGAACGCACCTGCGACCTTCCAAAGGTCAATGAACGAGTTGTTTAGGCAATGGCTCGACGACTTTGTAATCGTCTACTTGGATGACATTCTAGTGTATAGTAAGACACTAGAAGATCATCATCGACACCTTCGTCTAGTACTCGGGAAGTTACGCGAAGGTAACTTCAAACTCAACCCAAAGAAATCCGAGTTCGCTAAATCTGAGGTCCTGTACTTGGGACATATAGTGAACGAGGAGGGATTGAGGCCCGAGGAAAA